AGAAATGCAGGGCGACAGCGTGGAGCCATTAACGCTGAATTTAGATTACTGAACAAGCATATTCAAAAATCGGCCCGCGCAGACATACGAAAATGGCTCGACGAAGCAATCGAAAAGGATGGATGGCGGGCCATTCGGTCCTTCCGGAAAGGGAGGCAGTTTACTCAAGATCGTCTTCGAGATCTGAACGGCGACCTGGTGGATGCTACGCGGAAGGCCGCCGCAATGGCAGACTACCTTAAACAAGTCCAGTGGCATCTTCCGCCGGCTGTGGATCTGCCTCCTCGCGTCGACGTTGAAGACGGTCACTTGAGTATCGATGCGAATGACATCGCCGCGGAGGAAGTCAAAAGCGCAATCAAACAATTCCGAGTGCAGAGAGCTCCTGGCAACGATGGCGCGCCACCAGAATTTTGGCAATGTTCATGGAGAGACGTCCAAGCAATAGAGATTCTAAGAGATCTGTGCAACACGCGTTGGCGACAAAAAGATATACCCACGAGCTGGAGGGAAGCATCCATTGTTTCAATGTTCAAGAAAGGGGGCGCGTCCCAGCCGTGCAACTACAGGCCGACATCGTTATTCTCAGTTGGATATAAAGTTCTTGCGAGCATACTTTTGCGTATATTCAAACGCGGAGGAGCAGGAGAGGCATTGCGGGGGTCGCAGTGCGGATTCAGACCAAAACGTGTCACGAACGACGCCCTCTTTCTGGCAAGGCGGTTGATCTACGCCGCCTTGGAGGACAAGGGTGGCTCCCTTTTGCTCTTGTTGCTGGACTGGAGCAAAGCCTTTGACCGCATTCGGCCAGAAGGGCTTCTTCGCGCACTTCGGCTTTTCCGCGTGCTGCCGCCTATGGCACGCATGATTGAAGCAATTTATCGGGTGCGAACTTTCGTGGTCAAGAGCGGGGCCTCCGCGACGTCGAGCAGGGCCCAAGCGGCAGGGATAGCGCAAGGGTGCCCGCTCTCACCATGCTTGTTCATTATCGCAATGTCAATGCTTTTGGATATTGTCGACAAGCAGATGGCGGAGCACTCGGTGGAGAAGTCTTCCAAACCGTGCTTGATCACAGAGGACGTGCTCTATGCAGGCGACGCAATGTTGATCGCAGACAATCCGGGCTATCTGCAGAAGCATTTGGATGCAGTAGTGCTGGTTGGCCCAAAGAATTGGATTGGAACTCGATGCTGGGAAGACCATCCTCTTGCGGATCCGCTCAGGCGCCGCCGCCATTGGGCCCGGCGACGCGGTCATCCCGTGCAAAGAGAGCGCCGTGGACCTTGGTTGGCGGGTGTGGGCGGCCGGCCACGCAGTGAATTGACTAAGCGCCTTGGAGAGGCCAAAGGGGGATTTGTGAAAATGCGCGCGGCATGGAACCATGCGAATTTAAGTAAACAGCGCAAGTTGCAAGTTTTCGAAGCATGTATTTTATCAAAGTTGCTGTGCGGCCTCGAATCGTGTATGTTGTTGAAGACATATAGGGCGAAGCTGGATGCATTTCAAGCGCGATGCCTGAGAATCATCTTCAAGATACCACCGGCGTATTTGTCTAGAGTCAGTAACGCGGCTGTTCTGCCAACAGCGAATGCACGCAGCCTCTCTACAATACTGTTGCAACGCCAACTTTTGCTATATGGTAGGCTCGCCCGGGAATCTCCGAGCAGTCTCCCAAGACGTATGTTGTTTTCCACGGGGGGCCACTCAACCGCCTTGCCTAGAGCGCGGGGTAGCGCGCGTGCCAGAGGCAGGCCGCGTCTGCAATGGTCAAGGTACATGCATTCGCAAGCGTCGGAGCTGTCCGGGCGAAGCCCGGAGCGACTCCAAGATCTTCTAGGCGACCAGGGGAGTTGGCGCCTAGCTGTCAAAGCTTGGTGCAATATTTGATTGATTGATGTTTGCCTCTGCTTCGCTCCTCTCTCTCCCCCTCCCTCCCTCTCCCCTTCTCCCTTTCCTCCCTCCTCCTCCTTTCCAGCTGTCTGCAGGTCAACGCATCGCGCCCCATGGGGTGCAAAGTCTTCCCGTGGCCGGCAACCGAGCCACCTGCAGCGCAACTGATTGTTTACATGTTTTTTTGTTGGTGTATGTTTTGCATGTGCCCGCACGTTGCCATCTGTCACAGTTTTCCTTGCCAATGCGCCGTCTGGGCGCGGCTGTTGTGCGCGTATGCGTGCGTGTGTGTGTGTGTGTGTGGGAGTGGTGAAACCCCTCCCCGAAGGGGGGAGAAAGGGGTTGAGGACAGAGAGGGCCCCCTAATCCACTCGCGCCCAGAGGGCTGGTGGGATTTGCCATCGCGGCAGCGCGGCGGCGGCGGCCGGCGCGGCGGCGTCGGCCGCGGCGGGCCCCGCGCGGCCGCGGCAGTTCGGGTCGATTTCGGCGGCGGCGGCAGCGGCGCCCTCGGCGCCAGCGGCGAGTGCGACGCTGGCGGCGCCCGCGGACGCCGCCGGCGGCCCCCGAGGAGCCAGTCGCGCCCGGGGCGCAGGCTGCGTCCGCGGCGAAGGCGGCGCCCGAGGCGCCAGCGGCGCGCGCGGCCGCCCGTGGCGGCCCGCGGCGTCGCACCGCGCGCAGCGGCGGGGCCGAAGCGGCGCCGCCGCGGCCAGCGGCAGCGGCCGCGGCGGCAGCCGCCGCGGCAGCGCAGCGGCGGCGGCGCTGGCGGCGACCGCGGCGGCGGCGCCGGCCGCCGACGGAGTGGCGGCGCCAGCCAGCGGGGCGGCGGCGCCAGCCGGTGGCGACCGCGCCGGCGACGCCGATCGGCCAACGCCCGGGGGCGCAGGGGGGCGCCGCAGTTCCAGCGGCGTCGGCGGCGCAGGCTGCGGCCGCGCGCCGCTGCCATCGCCGCCGCGCCGCGCGCGACGCCACGGCCCTGGGGCAAGGGCCCGGAGGGAGGAGCAAAGCTCTCTCCCGGCCCTCGCCAGCGGCCGGACCCCGCGGCCGGGGGCAGGCCCCGACCGCGCAGGCCAGCTTGGCCCCCTTGAGCCAGAGCGGCTAGAGCCAGACGCTTGAGCCAGAGGGCTACGGAGAGGCGTCGCGCACACGAAATCTGCGAAGAGGCCTGGGAACCAGGCGACCAGGGGCGCCGCGACCGTCAGTGACGCAGCGCCGCGTTCTCGGGCCACGCACTAAACCGCGCAATTCAGCGCGCAAGCGACGCGCGACACGAAACTATGAATGCCTGCTTGCACCGCCGCGACCCCCCACCAGGCCGCCGAGGGCGTCGCCAGCCCGCTGGGGTCCCCCAGGCACCTCCGGCCTGCCCCCCGTGGCGGTCCCTGGCTTGCCTCGCCTTATGGCCCTCCTTCGCCACGAGGACCCCGTCCGTCCCGGGCGCGCCCCGCATTTTCCGGGCCCTCCCCCCGCTCGAGCTCAAGCCGAGCGCTGGGGAATCACACCCGTCGTGCGCAGGGCCTGGCACGCCGCCCAGACGGCCGTGCTGGCCATCCTCCCGTCACAGGGAAAAACCACTCAGGCCCAGGCCCAGCCCGCGGCAGACCGCTTGACGCGGCTCGAACGCCAGTTCGAGCACGTCCAGTCCTTATCCGACCATCCGCCGCACGACGCGACAGCACCTCAACGCGCTGCGCGAACGTCACGTCACCGTCCAGCGTCAGGCCTCGTTCGCCCCTGCGGCGACGAGGGAGTCCACCTCCGGCGCAGCCGCCCTCCACGCGGTCCATGCGCTTCTCGCTAGAAACCCCAGCTTACCTCCCCTTCAAAGCAGGCCCGTGCGCCGCCTGGCACGCGTTCATTTTGGCCTTCCCCATTTCCGGTCCCGAAGAGGGGCTGGAGGGGTGCCGCCACTTCTAGTGAGGTGCCGTCACGTCAAAGACGGGCGCCAGCCTTGCTTAACCCACCTGGGGGGATCGGACCACTGCAATGCAGAGTCACAGCCTCACCATTTGCTCGCTGGCGGGGGGCCCACTTGCCCCTCCCTCTCCTTCCTTCCCTGGCCATCCGCCCAAGACGGGCGTGTAGGGCCTCCTTATTGCCGACCCGCTCTTGCCAAGGAGCGGGGCGTGCCGGCCGCTCGCCGCCGGGCGCCTTCGCGGGCACCCGCGCGAATCGGTTCGATTTCTTCGGATCTCATCACATTTTTGGTTGAAGTCCTCTTGAGGCGTCTTGGGGGTCTTTTGGCCTTTCTGGGGGTCTTTTGGGGCGTTCCGGGATGTCTCTCGGAGCCTCTTGGGGTTCTCTTGGGAGCCGCTGTTGGGCATCTGGGGGGCATCGTGGGGGCCTCTTGGGGCCTCCTGGACACCTCTTGGGGCCCTCTTGGGGCAGCCTCTGGGGCCATTTTGGAAAAGATCGGTCAAAGGAGGGGCCGTAGTCACTGTAGTCCCTCTCCCCAGGAGGCCAACATGTTTCCAAAACCGAGGAAGCATCCTCATGTTTTGCCTCCTCGCCGAGACCTCTTGGGCCGTCCTGGGTACTTTTGGGTGGCCTCTTGGGGCGTCTTGGGAGTCTATTGGGGGCCTCTTGGGGCCCTCTTGGAGCACCTGGCCCGGAGGACATCGATTAAAAGGAGGGGCCGTCGTACATGAGCCCCGCCCCAATAGGCCAACATGTGACCAAAATTTTGATAACATCAATGATGTTGGTTTCCTCGCCGATGCCATCTTGGACGCCCCCACCCGTTGCGGAACGCCCCCTCCGAACCCTGGGGGAGTGGCTAAGGGGGCGGGTCAGCTCCTCCCCGGAGGGGGAAAGGAAGACGCAAGAGGTAGCTCGCTAAGCCACTCACGCCCTAAAGGGCTGGTGGTGTTGAGTTGTAGTTCCAACGGTCTTACGTGAGAGGTGTGGCCAGCTTCTCCGTTTTCATCCCTTCTCCAATCCTCCCCGTGGTCTGTTGCCAAGAGCACTCACTCACATGTTGCTGCCAGTCATCCCCTCCCTTTCCCCTCCTCCATCCCATCTTTCCGTGGGCGCTGTGGCTCAAGCCATGTTGGCCCCAGTGAGCACGCACAAGGAGCTGGGGTCCAGGGGTCGGCAACCGTCCGCCAGCAGAGATGTGGTTCCACGAGTTGATGTCTTGCGCGGACAATGCGCGCACGGGCACGACCCTGGGGATCCCAGGGCTGAGTATTCCACGCACGAGGGCTGGCAAGACTGCTGCGCAGGGGGCCTTTCACACGCGTCGGCAGCCGTTCCCCGTGTCGGCAAACGATCCGGCAGACAATTGCGACACCTTGGAGGAGCTCCTGCTTAATCTCGAGCTGCAGCTCCACGTGCATTCGTGGTCCCTCTGCGTCAAGGTGGAGCCGCATGGGGACAGCCCGCTCTCCATATCAGCGGCGGCCGCGAAGTCGATGCCGTCCATCCCCGAGCAGGGGTCGCTGGCGTGGTGCATGGGCCCTGCCTTCGAGACACTGCAGGACTGCCGCAGGGAGCTGGACAGGATCTGGCGCCAGCACTCCCCGGCGGACTCAATGGAGCTCCACCAGCCGCCGCTCGCAGGCCAGGGCTTGAGCTAAACGGTGTTTGGGCGATCTCGTGGGCCGCTTTCGTTTTGATTCCGGTCTGAAGCAAAGGCGGAACAAAGACAGATCGAGGAAAACCGAAAACACAACGAAACCGAAAAACACTGTTTCACTCGAGCCCTGCAGCAGGCCGTGCCGGCGGGCCGCCTGAGGCCGCCGAGGGGCGTGGCGGCCCCGGGGGGCGCTGGGCGGCGGCCGCGGAGGCTCGGGCAAGGTCGCTGCTCGCCCGCGCCTGGCGGCTGCTGCCCGCGCGGCGTGGCGCCGGGACCAGCCGGGCGCCGGTCAGGCGCGTGCGGCCCGTGGAGCCCGTGGAGCCCGCGGGCCCAGGCCGCGCGGTGCCGAGGGCCCCCCGCGAGGAGCGACGGGGAAAACCCCCTCCTCCCCCTCCTCGTTTTCGTCCCCGTCCTCGTCCTGCTCGTCCTCGTCGCCGTCGTCGTCGTCGTCGTCGTCGCCGTCGTCGTCGTCGTCGTCGTCGTCGTCGTCGTCGTCGTCGTCGTCGTGCGCGAGGAGCGGGGCGGCCGCGGCGGCGCCCCGCCGGCAGTCGCAGGCCGGGCTGGCGGGGCAGCTGCAGCGGCCGCCGCGGCCACGGCGGCTGCGGCGTCGGAGGGCGGCTGGCCAGGGCGCACGAAGGCCGTCGAGGGAAGAAGTGACAAGACGATAGAGTGACCTTTGGCAATAGTGAACTTTGGTGCGGGCCCAACGGGGTCCCCCGATCGCCGAAGGTAAAGCGGTAGTAGCGTCTTGCGCGCTCGTGTTCGGCCCTCCGCGGCCCCCAAAAAACCTCGCACCAAAAGTCACTCTTACCCAGGGTCACCCTTGCGTGTAGTCGAAAGTCGAAGGAAGCGCGGGGCGATCTTGGTCATGCAGTTAACCCGCATAGTAAGGATGAGCGACTTTCCAAGGTCACCCGTAAATCCTTCCCCTTCGGCCCATCCTTGGCCGCTTTCGCTGGCCGCGCCCCGCCTGCAGAGTGTCGGTATGACCTTCTAAGGCCCTTGCATCCTCATCGTGCGCCCTTTATACGGGTCGACTGTGGTCCGTGTCGGTCGTCGCTGACTCGCGAGGATGATCTGCGGGTTCACGCTGACCAAGATCGGCGCGGACCAAAATTGGCGCGACGTTTCGGCGTTCAGTCTTGGCCGTGGACCCGTTTTTTTTTTCTCTTCAGGCCGGGTTCGCAGCCTGCGCGGCGGCGCTGCCTACGGCGGTCGAGGTCTTCGCGGGGGGCTGAAGCTTTAAAGGGCGCGGCCGCGGGCGCCCTTCGGACAGGGCTCTACTCACCCGCGCGCAGCGGCTCGGCGTGCGGCTGGGAGAGGGCGGCGGCGGCGATTCTCTCTGAGGTCCCTCTCAGCTCCTGACAAGCATGCGAAGTGGGGCGCCAGCAGGGAGTGCCGGTGGCCCGACAGCAGCTCCAGTGTCAACCCCACGCCTGCGACCCACCAGCGCTCGTCGGACGGTTGTGCCAGTGGCGGGGAGAGGGTGCTCGAGGAGAACGCTTGGTTGGGGGGCGAAGCGGCCGCCAGACGGCCCGTGTTAGGTCTGGAGATTCTCCCCAGCTTGCCCCAGGCCCGAAGCTGGCCTTCTGCGGTCCTGGGAGCCCGTCCAGCCTCTCCCTCGCGCCAGGGCCCCGGATCCTGGCGCGATGTTTATTCAAGAGGCTTGCGCCATTCCGCCAGCCCCCAGAAGAGGCAGGGAGTCCGCGGTTGAGGCGTGGTGGGCTTCTTGGGCACTATCTGGGGACTCTTGTAGGCGTCTTGGGAGCTGCTTTAGGGCCTGTTTTAGGGCCCTTTCCCTGGCGCGATGTTTGCTTTAAGTTTAGTGACTTGGTGGCTCTCTCAGCTGCCAGTTCTGGACCACGCGCTCGGCGCCGCCCGAAAGCTGTGCCGCCGCCGCCGCCAAGCGTTTGCGATCCGCCTGGGCACGCTTTTGTTGCCAAGTGCGTATTCGTTTAAAGCTGTGCTCGGCTCATTTCAACTTCGGTCCTCCTCATCCTTCTCAACGTCGGGGGAAGGGAAAAAGTACAGGCCGAGGCACGCGTCACGCGTCAGTCCCCTAGACGGTTCCCGAGTAGGGAGTATTACCCCATGCTCCGTAGTTGGGTTGCGCAGTTTTCGAGACCAGTTTCGGCGTTAGCAGAGCATCCCATGTGAGCTCTCCGCGCATGGCTCATTGCTCATTGCTCCTGTCAAGGCCCGAACGGGCTGCCTGCAGGCCGCTACATGGCGCGGTGCGCAAGGTTCCCAGCGCGCCGTGGCTTAAGTGGCCTACGAGTGTGACCCATCTTGCCTGCCCGTTGCCATCGCCCGATCCAGTCGGCCTTGCCAGAGGCGGGTTAATCCGGCTTGCTGGCTTTTTCTTCGGACTGAATAGTTGGTGGTTTGTAAGAGTTCTCGCGAAGACCTCCCAGGGGTTGCCTCCTAGCCTGCTCTCTCCTCCCTCCTCCTCCTCCTCCTCCTCCTCCTCCTGCTCATTCTGCCTCCTCCTCCTCTTCGGGCCGCGCGCGGTCGGCCAGCTCCCTGATGCAGAATTGATGTTCTCCAGAATTTATCGTCGACTCATACGTAGAAGGTTCGACGCATTCCTCATGAATTCGACGAACAATTCAATTCTGGGGTAAACCAATGCTGCAGTCGATCCCCTACTCGATGCCTTGCTCTGCCGCATGTTTCCACCTGGGCAATGGCGTCCAGGAAATTGGGCCCTTGTCCTCACCTTTGGCTCGAAGCCCCCGCGAATCGACGTTGGAGTGTGTACATGGTACATGCATGAATCTGCATCTTCGTCGTTACTTTCGCAGCTATTCGTGAGTCCTGTTGTGCCCCTTATTGGTATTGCTCACCCTTTCCACCGCACGAGTGGCGTCGCACAGACGCGCGTGCTGGGAAGTGGCATTAGCTCCCCGTGTGGGCTGAGCCATCGGGGCTCTTCTCAGTAGCTCCCCGTGTGGTCTGAGCCATCGTGATATTTCTGGGCAGACAGCTGCCATTATTTCAGTGAACTGCTACCCTCCGCTCGAATGTTACGCGCAAGAAGGACAGGAGAGAGGAGAGCATTGGAGAAACATGATTATCCCTCTCGCCCTTCCCCTCCCGCCGTGGTCGCGGTTGTCGTCGTCGTCGTCGTCGTCGGCGTTTTGGTCAGTCCCTTCTCGGCGCGTTTCGTTTCGGTTCAGATTTCCCCCCTCTCGGGCCCGCTTCGGACATGAATCGGATCTTGAAATCGAGTTGTTTTTTCACAGCGCCTCCAGCACAGAGCTGTTGCAACTGATTCACGCCACTTCTATTTCCCAAAGCTGATGCACTGTTTTGCCATGCTTCTAGCTTCGAGGGGCGAGACACATTTTACTTTACAGCACTTCCAACTCCGAAGGGCGGATACCATGGTGTTTCACAGCGCTTCTGGTGCCCAAGGTCACAATGATGAAATAACACGAGAGTTTACAACACATGGTATTTCACAGTGCTTCCTACTCCGATTGGTGCAACAAATTGGGTGCTTCCAACTGTTTGTAGCCATTCCAGGTCAGAAGGTTTGAAAGAACGCTTTGTGACACCCCCATCCAAAACGAGGGGGGAAGGGGCGTTCGAGACCCCTCCGAACAATTATTCTTCACGCTCCGCGTTCCCACCACTTTGCCTTTGCCGCCTGACCCTTGTCTCGTGGCCGCTCACCAAAACAGTATCCCCACCACCCCCTTCAGCTCCGCGGTTGCTTTGTGAGTGGGCCGGCCGGCCTGTGCCTGTTGTAGCTAATTCGCCTCGTTCGCGCCCCAGACTTTTCTTTCGCCGCCTGACCCTTGTCTCGCGGCCGCGACCAAAAATCCCCACCAGTCCGTAACCCCCCTGGCTCAAGCCTCTGGCTCAAGCCGCTCTGGCTCGAGGTGAACCGAGCGGGCTGTGCGCCTGGGGCCGGAGGTGCCCCGTCCTCCGGTCCGCCTGGTGGGGGCCAGGAAAACGCGCGTCGTCTTGGCCTCCCCCTCCCCCCCCGCCCGCGCCATGTCGCCGCGCACGGCTTGCCGGTGGCAGCAGCGGCAGGCGGCGGCCGCGCGCCGGGCCGGCACTGCCGGCGCGGCCGCCGAGGCCGCCGCGGCGCCGCCGCCTGGCCTGCCGCTGCACTCGGCTGCCGCCGGCGCCGCCGCCGCCGACGGCCGCTCGGCCGGGGCCGCCGCCGCGGCCGCTGCCGCGGCCCCTGCTGGCAGCGTGGCCGCGCGGCCCGCCACGGCCGCCGCCGAGGCTGCCGCCGAGGCTGCCGCGGCTGCCTGCGGCGCGGCCCTGGACGCTGCGGAGGCCGCGGCGGCCGCCGGCCTCTGGCTGGCCGTCGCCGCTGCGGCCCGGGCGGCCCTGCTGGCCGCGGCCGCCGGCGCCTCTGGCGCCGGGCGCGCCGCTGGCGCCGCCGCCGCCGGCGGGGCCGCGGGCGCCGCAGGCGCCGCCGGCGCCGCGGGCGCCGCTGGAGCCGCGGGCGCCGCCGGCGTCGCGGGCGCCGCTGGCGCCGGTGGCGCCGCGGGCGCCGCCGGCGCCGCGGGCGCCGCCGGGACGCTGGAGCTCCGGGCGCCGCGCGGGCGCCGCTGGCGCCGCCGCCGTCGGAGGCGCCGCGGGCGCCGTCGGCGCCGCTGGAGCCGCCGGCGCCGCGGGCGCCGCGCGCGCCGCTGCCCTGCGCCCGGCGGCGGCGGCCGCGGGCTGCCCCGCGGCGGCGGCCGCCACCGCGACGGGCCGCCCCTCGGCCGCTGCGGCCACCCCCGCCGGCCGCCTGCCCCCCGCCGCCGCGGCCGTAGCCGCTGCCTCCGCGGCGGCTGGCCGCTTGACAGAGGCCGCGGCCGCCGTGGCCCGCGCTGCGGCTGGGGGGCCGGCTGCTGCGCACGCCGCTGCCGCGGCCGCCGGCGCCGTTGCCGCTGCTGCGGCCACGGCCGCAGTGGCCTCCGCGGCCACCGCAGCCGCGGGCACGGCCAGCCATCAGTCTGGCCTGCAGGCCGCGCAAGAAGACACAGGGCCTGTCAGGTCAGAAGGGAACGGAACGGGTCAGAAGGAGGTGCCCTTGCCCCCTGACGCCCTTCCGGGCACCCCTGGCGGCCAGCAGACTTGGCAAGAAGACGCAGGCGAAGAGAGATCTTCAAGAACTCATGTGGCCGTCAGCGGCGACCCTGGCGAACAGAGACCCACATCAGCTCAGACGGCCGTCAGCCGCAACCCTGGTGACGAGGGGCCCGCACCCTCTCCGACGGTCAGAAGGAGGCACCCTTGCATGCTCCCTGACGGCTTTCCGGGCACCCCTGGAAGCCAGCAGACCCCGCAAGAAGACACAGGGTCCGTCAGGCCAGCGGGACGGGTCAGAAGGAGGTACCCTTGCTCCCTGATGCCCGGTCTCCGAGACCTCAAGGCACTCTTGCATCTCAGTGCCCGAGCCATCCTCTCTACTCCAGCTGCCCGGACGAGGTCCCCTTGCGCCCTTGCAGCCCTGTGTCCGTTGGCGAACGAGGCACCCCTGCTTCCCCTTGCCAGGGTCGCCTAGCCCTCGCGGACCCCCCTGGCGGCCGGCAGACCTCTAGAGGAGAAGTCGAGCCCGGGGCGGTTATGGCGTCAGGCCCACAAGGAGAAAATGGACACGTTGGGCCGGAAGGCAGCCAGGATGTCACGTCGGAACAAGCAGCCCTTAGCCGCAGCAGCCCTTCGAGCGTGCCACGGGCTGGAACGGGCACCCCTACAATTCCTCACCCCCATCAGCGCCCCTGGGTCGGAGTTTTGGTGGAGGCCGAAGGCGCGCGTGGATCGGCGCCCACCCGCGACGACGGCGTCGCGGCGGCAGTTCGGAAGGCGGCAGAGAGGGCGCCGGAGAACCTAGTCCCACCACACATGCAAGAGAGCCAGGGTGCCGTAAATCCAGGAGCGGCTGTCAGCTGCTGCAAGTCTCGCGACGGGTGTGCGGACGCACGTGCGACTGACCGGGGCCCGGGGCATCCGCGACTGGAGGGCCCGCCTGACTCCTGGAAGGGCGGGCGGGCCACAGGCGGGCGAGCCCTCGTGGTCTGCGCAGACGCCCCGGCCAGCGCCGCGGAGGCTTCCTCCATGGCCGATGGCAGACGCGGAGCGCGCTACCTGGAGAGTCTGGAGACGGCGTCGCACCCGGTTGAGGGCGAGACCCAGCAACGCCCCGCTGTGGCTCCGCCCGCCGCCGCCCCTGGCGCGCTCAAAGCTTCCTCGCGGGGGGCTTCGGACCCGCCTGGCAGAGACAGGGCGACGAGGCCATCCGGCAGCTTGTCGGCAAAAACCCCTTCGCGCTAATGCGCCCTCCTTCCTCCGGCAGTGATTCCGTCCGAGCGGACACCGAACCGCCACCCCTCTCTCTTGAAACCCGGGCCTCGCCG